GAGTATTCATGCATTAATTTCATTATCCCAAATTTCAATTTTTTGAGGTGACCCGTACTAAAATTAAAATTTAATTCCATGTGGGATCAATAAATTCCAAATTATAAGAGATTAATATATATTTTCTATAAAAATTCATCTTTCATCAAATTCTATGACTTGAAAAGTAAGGGTCATATAGCTGTATAGCTCATAGAAACTTTTTGAAATTAACACCAAAAAATCGAGTTCAAACCCAAAAATACGTGTTATTTCAATGGAATATTGAGTTATTGGATGAGCGATTATTTTTCTAACGAGAATATTTTTTTCTACTTAGCATCAGATTTTCAGTTGGAAAAAGAAAAAAATCGCCTCTAATCAAAACACCCTAAACAATTTTTACTGCTTCGACTCTCAAAAATGTCATGAAATATTTATCTTGCTGATTCTGTATAGTATTTTAATTCTATGATGATTTTCGTGTTTCTAGACAATGTTTTTGACTTTCTTCTTAATGAAGTAAGTTCGTGCATCGGTCATCAATTTGTTTGTGTTTCAAGACCCTGATTTATGCTGAAAAAATTGCAACTCAGTTTCCACTTTTGTCTGTATTCCGATAAAATATACACATTGAAACATCTGAAAGCATTTTTGAACAACGTGCTTTTTCAAGAGATTGTGTTAGCATTGACACGCAAACATCTGCGTGATATTCAGACTTTTCGTGTTATTTATCGTGAAAGTTTTTTCTAATAAAGTGATACTCATTTCTTGCTTTTTACTCTATATTCAATTGCTTATAATACATGCTATCTTACATCTGATAACATAACAATGACAACGGAAAGAGGGGAAGTGTGGAAAGTCGTCTTCGTTTCGTTCAGGTTGGAGCCTGGCTCCCTTACCATTTCAGCTGATGTTTGTCAGAGGGACAAATGGGTCATGAGTGATGCTAGGATGTTAACGAAGGACATAGGGGCCTCATTCGACAGAGTGTCGGGGCCTTCTATATTGGGAAGGAGTCGTCTACAGCATAATCCATAGCTTCCCTAACTAACGGATTATCATGAGTTTCTGCGGAATCTAAAACTCGACTGAATGGAATGGAAGGTAGCTGCAAATCTCTGCGGATGGCTTCATTCGGTACGAACCAAGGAGCATTCACAATGATCTTTATTAACCTATTTTGCAATCTCTCCAGAATGGAGATACTAGACGGAGCCGCTTGTCCCCAGACGCCTGAAGCATACATGATGACAGGTTTGAACATCGTGTTGTAGATGGTAATTTTATTCTTGATACTCATTTTTTATTTTCTGTTGATCAGCGGGTACAGACTGGCCATCCGGCCCTCGATCCTTGTTTTAACTGATATAATGTGTGGGTTCCAAGTGAGCCTACGGTCTATTAGAATGCCGAGGTACTTTACCCGCACTTGCCAGTTGATCTCCCTTCCAGAGATCCCCACTTTCCTACCCGGAGAAGATATCGTTCTTCCCATGGTTATCGCCTGAGTTTTGTCTGGGTTCACTCCAGGTACCAGCGCATATAGACGATCCCGAGCTCTCGACCCATGGAAGATGAGAGGAGGGCCGTGTCATCGGCGTAAAGGAGGGGAAGTGTTTCACCTCCTACTGTTATTTATACTTAACCTATTATTCTTCTTTATTCTACATTACCACCGTATTGAAGTAAACACCTTCTATACGGTGACATTACCAACACTTCAATTATACCATGAGTGAACTACAAATCAGTCGACATTTACCAATCATACGCATATACTAGATACGAAAAAAATCACTGTACTGAAAATACTAACTACCATAAATACAGTATAATGTAGCCCATCTTCTTCTGAGTGAAATGTACAGTACATATTATTTCTTTAACATTATTCATTCAATATATTTTATAAGATCAAGTGTTCCATATCCCTCTCACTTGACTATAGAAAAAAGACAACTGTCTCAAAACATATTTTTATGTGGCAGTTATTTTTTTTTGAGGGCACTTATTCAATGAACCACTCGTTATTAAAATTCCTGAAAGCCAGTTCAAATTGTGATTAACTACAAAACCCTTTAATGGGGTTGTTCATGTTTCTGAAGAAACCTCGATAATTTGTCGAGGGTGTTGGATACACATGTATACTGTAACGCTCTTTACGCGTTACGGGTCATTTTGACGCCGAGTTCAGGTCACGGGTTGCCTCGGGGTCTTCGGTATTTAGTTCTTCCAGACGGGTTGTCCATTGTTGATCTCGGATTGCTTTCAATTCTTCTCGCTGTATTCTGCCGGCTCTTTGCATACACCTTTTGTCCATTGGTGCGAGAGTCCGTTGATATCGTCTTTTCAGACGTCTTCTCATTCTGATGAGCTCCATCGTTTCTGGCGAGAGATGCTCTTGTACGTTAAAGCGCTAGGTTGGGACTTCTCGCGCGCTTTTTTTCATTGTTTGGGTGATCGCCTATTGCAGCTGTTATGTGGCGTTCTCCAGATCGGTCTTTGTTTCGATGTGAGGTATGTCTCCTCTATCGCATCATGAATAGTGCGCTGGAATCTTTTCCAGTCTATGACTCTCTTTGTTGGATTATCTGGTTCCACTTCACCTCTTTCTATTGTGAATAGGATGGGATTGTGGTCTGATGATCCTTCGTCTAGTACTTCCATCTTCGTAGTTGTGATGTTCTGCACTATTGCGACGTTAAGAATGTCTGGGACTTGGTCTTCTCATGAATAGTATGTTGGGGATTCCGGTGCTATTACCGCGATGTCCTCAAACTCTTCTAGTATTCTGGCTTGCTGTCTGCCCCTTTGATTTCCATTCCTGCAGTTCCAGTCGCGCGACTTTGCGTTGAAGTCGCCTATGGTTACTGTTGAATAATGATTTGGAAATATTTCTGCTATGTCGGTTATCTCTAGCCTTATACCTTGCGGAGGCAGGTATACCGACGAAATCCTCAGCTGTTCGTAGCGTTTCAGTTTCCCTCTGACCGCTACTGCTTCTCCTAGTTGTATATCTGGTTTTTTATCTTCGTGTTGCGCTAAGTCGGTTTTGACTAGTAGCGCCGCGTCCCCCTGGCCTGTCTGTTCTGTATAGATTGTATCCTGGGTTGCGGTAGCTCTTTTCACTCCTTATCCGTGTCTCCTATAGTGCCATGACTTCTATGTCTAGTCGTGATAGCAGTTCCAGTATCTCGTTCTTCTTGTCTATGAAACCGTTGATGTTCCACGATCCTATCTTTAGTAGTTCTGGAATCCGTGCTGGCATTAACGTCTTCCAGGTGCTTGTAATAAAGCAGCTAATACCGCTTGCGCAATCTTCTGCTGCTCTGTCGAAAGGTTTCCTAATACTTTTATTAGGTCGTTACTGCTGCCTGTTTGCGCTCTTGGTAAGGTCGTCTTTCTGGCTGACGCCTGCTGTCTAGGCCTCTGACTCTCCGCTTGTCGAGGCCTATTTCCTGTTGGTTGTGTTTGTCTGGGCTTGGGAAACATCCTTCACCCCCTCTGTAACTGCACACGCCGGGTGCGCTCCCAGACAGTTTGTGCATTTGGCTGGCGTTTCTTTCTGTTTCTGACACTCCCTTGTGTCGTGATTTTACGCAACGCGCGGTTGCGTAGCAGCATCGCGTGGCCGAAGTACTGCAGATTGACGCACGTTCTCAATGCGAATATTTGATCTTAGTCTTTCGGTACTTTGACCAGGAACAGCGGTATAAGTCTTGTCTTTCTAGATGTCATTCTATGAGACTCCAGAACCTCAAACTCTTGTTTTCTCAGATAATCTGCTACATGGACTTCCTCCACGTTCTCCGGTATCCCCCGGATGACTGCGTGGAGCGTGAGTTCTTTTTTAGCGTATATGTATGGAAGTCCAGGCGGAATTCCTCCATGAATTTTGTGCATCTTTTTCATTCCACTTCGTTGTTCGTGTGTATGAATATGCCCTCTTTTGTTAGGCGCGCCCTTTTGTATTGGATTCGCCCTTTCTCTAGTTCCTTTGACACCTCATTACACTTCTTCGCATCGTGCATCACGATTGGCGGTGGTTTAGACGGGTCTGTATTCGAATTTGTCGTGTCCTCTTTTGGTGGTGGGGCTGGTACCACTTCGTCTGGCTTTCCTGTTGGCCAAACTGGAGTGTTTGTTGGATTTGTGATTGGTACCACTTCATCGTCTGGCGTCCTTTCATTTACTATTGATACTGTTTCTATGGCTATCGTTTCTGCCTCGGTCTCCATGTCCACGTGGCTTTCTTTCTCCTTCTCTCTGGTTCCTTGGTAATTTGGTTGACAGTCATCTTCATCTTTATCAAGTTGGAAACTTATCCCTTACCCTTTCAACTGTCTTTCGTCAGGAGGACGAGTGGTGGTAATTTGGTAGATGCTCTCGAGATTAATTGAAATAGAGTTCTACGCGGTGTCCGGTGATGGGTGAGTTGTGCCCTCCATCGGTGGTACGGTGTATTAACAAATAACGTTTGATTTTCAAATCTCATTGGCAACCTGGCATAGTACAGTTTCCTATCGCGATAGAGTGGCACTTCGACCCAGTTTGAGAGCGGTGGCAGTAGAGGAAGGTATTCGGGGTAAAATAAACAACGGAACAATAATATAAACACAAAATAAATAAGCCGTTTCTACCTGACGTGACGTACCACTGGGAAAATTAATAACTTCGTTACAATATCATTTACTTAAGGTACAATAAAATTAAGAACGACAAGGTTCGTAAACAATTCTTCTGTGAACAACTGTCAATTGCCTAACTTTTGAAAACTGAAAAAGAAATATTTTTGTTTTAATTATTATTTAAATAACCCATACCAATAATATTTCATTGTAATCGTGTTTGATTTTTGGTACATAATACTCATTTTGTTAAACATAAAATTATTTCCAATCCGTCAACCCGAAATGTTGATTTGTTACATTCCCTGACTGTTATCAATTTTGTATTTGTAAATAGCCCTATCAAGCGATAACCAAATATAAAATATAAATATTTTCAAGTTGGCGAATAATCATTAGTTTTATCATATTGTTTTGAATAGTTGAGTTTCTTGCTTAAAATGAAAGTGGAATTATTATTGCTGTTATTAGTAGTATTTTTGAATGGTAAGTATTGTTACAAAAAAATTAAATAAGAAAGAGACAAAAAATGTGGCCCGACCAAGAGTCATGTCTGCAGACCACAAACTTAATCTTTTATATTTATATTACAGACGCTGTCTACTCTTATATTCGTTTCGGATAATTTCATGTATTGGATATTATCTTATGAAACCCTGATGATCCTCATGTGAGTGATTCTAGAATAAAATGAAAGATTTATATTCGGATGCCTGAAGTTTAGTTGTTAAGTTCATCACAATCAATAAGTTTCCTCCTTTTTGCACGAATACCTACCACGAGAGACAGAATTGAAGATGTGATTTGGTTGATGTAACTCCGATAGCGTAGTTTGTGAATGCGCATGTCGAGAGAATAGGAGAATCGGGATATTATATCCCGCTTAGGTCATATATTTTAAATTCAGTTTTTTTGTATCCAAATTTTATTTTCCTGTGGAGTTTTTGCATCTGTGGCGACCTCAGAATGTAGTACTGCTATATGAAAATTAACGTTTTCATTATTGACTACAGTCAATGTTCATTAGAGATTGTTAATATGCCAGAAAAAATGGCAGACCTAGAGGGTACCTAAGAGTACAGTTTTGGTCTCATTCATCTAGCACCCCCGTTCGACCATAAAGTACTATCTAACTCTCTCAAGCTGATCAAATCAAGTAATATTCTTACTTCAATTCTAGCTACGGCCCCGTGTTACAATCCTGTAATATTTCCAGTTAGGTTTTTTGATGTTGAACAACCTACAAAAGTTCAAGAAATAGTCTGCAAGAAGACTCTCACTTGTCGAATATAAGCAAGAGTTGGATCAAGTCCATGGATGTTCTCAGTTGTACTAGTGACAGAAATCAAACAAATTTATTGTAGAATATAGGAAACACAAGATCTAAGATTGAGAGTACCCTCACCATTTTTTCCGAAACAAGGTAGTTTTCTAAACTAATCCTGAAACGCGGTTACTGAAAAGTTCATTTCGAAAATAAAGAGAAGACCTTTCATGCGGACTGTGCAATGCTCAAACGACTTTTGAAAGATTGATGAAACTGGTCCTGAGAGATCTCACATTTGAAAATGTTTCCTTGGGAGAACATTTGAAGATCATCCTAAAAATGAATGTATTCAGTCATATAACTTCTGGAAATCGGAGCAACGAGGAACTGGTCTAGACCAGCATCTAAGTACGAAGGTTGAAATTTATTTGGCTTAAAAACAACACAAAATTGATTAGGATATGAACGTCAGTAATCATTTTGTGAAATGGAAAACACTTAACAACAGTACCCATTATGGTCTATCCACGAGAGTGACGCGACTTAATTCCCGACTATGATGTGGCCCAGAACGGAGTTGCCTTCGCAGAAGCAAGATGGTTCATCGGTAATTTATGATCTTCCCAACTTTTTCCGACTATTTGAACTGGGTGTGACACCCCAAACCCCTCTTCTAGATTTCGCCCGTAGGCCTTTAGTTTTCAATTGGATGACGATTAAATTTTCTATAGATATGCTATACTTAGGAGTGTGTTCAACGGAATTTTTGCCCAGGCGCTAAAAAGCTGGCAGGAATAATCGGACAAGAAAAGGGCGAAGCAATATCCAACAAAGTAACAAGAGTAGGTGAATCAGTTGGATTGAGGGTCATACTACGTGCTTTAAAAATATTTGATCAGTTGAATTGATTAGTAGTGTATTGGGATAATTTGAATTGAATGCTATTCCATTACACAACATATAATATTATATATGATTTTTTAATAGTTTCAGCGGACTCCCTTCATCATCCAATTGTTACTTTATCTGAAGGAGATGTTGAAGGATTCATAGAACACACAGTGAAAGGACGTTCTTTTTATGCCTTCGAGGGTATACCATACGCTCGACCTCCAATTGGTGATCTTCGTTTCCAGGTAAAACTGCTAAATGCTAAACTGAATTTCTATATTGGATGAACTAGGTTATTTCTTTTTTATGCAATGGTAAGGCTGAACTGGTGCAAATAAAAATATTTCACTTCAGGCAAGCCAATGATACTGATATTCACACCGAAGAAAAATAAAAGTGCATAGTGGTATATTGTTGACAGAAATGCATTTTATTGAACAGTTTCTAAAAAATAAATACAGAATTTTGTTTATATTAATTAGGTTTTTCAATGAATACGATGAAACTTCACTTACTATTTTCTCATCCTAAGGTATGCAAGTAATAGTCATCACTTCTAATCTCAATAGTCGCTAAATGAGAAATCGCTCCGATCTGTCTGCAGTGCTCAAAGGTGTTGGATTCCATGATCCATAGTCATTTGGCGGTCGGTGTTTGATTTTACCATACTTATACAATTGTCTGTTTAACCGCCAGACAGAAGAATTTCCTCTTCTGGTGATCTATGTTGAAGTATGACGCTTTGCAACATATAGCCGCTGAAGACATTGGGTTATCTCGAATGCATCATGTTTGAGTTTTCTGTCGATTTCGAGGGATGGTCTTTTCAGTTTTGTTTGGTGAGAAGAGAGTTTGAAAGTTCATGCTTATTATCACTATTGAGTCTATGTCAGTTGAAAAACAAAATACTGTCTAGTATAAGATCATGAATGCAATGCGTTTGTGCTGTAGTGTTGAATAAGCGAGATTTTGAATGAATCAGTTCAATTATTATCATTATTCATATGAAAAATATAAGAAAAATAAACTATTACGATGATGACACTGTCATAAGATACAAAAAAGAAACCTTGAATTATTATACATGATTCTTCCATCGAAAAATTTTGATAAAACTTTCACTCTCCCAAGTTTAAGACCTATCCAAATTATAAATGATGGTTCTATTTTCACATCTCATTTTTCATTATATTTTGTCGTTATTATGTTTTGTTACCATCATTATTTACTTCCAGTGTTTCCTCAAGGTAAATTCAATAAAATTTATTTCTTTGCTTGTGTCCTATATCGACGTATCACTGTTTTCGCCTTGTATCATATAAAAATATATCGTTCACTCATCCTCATACAAAAATGTCATCCCAAAATGCTCGGGAGTGTCATACTACTCATTCCCAGAAACTACTATGAGGCGCAGTTCGTTTTCATAATTAATGAATTGCTGTCTCACTCGCTCAATTCCACCAGTTCCTAAACGAAGCAATCATTAAATTGAAATCAAAGGGAATATACAAATATCGATATTTAACATAATTTTGGTCTTTCGGACTGGATAGTATCATGATATGAGCTTGAAGATTGTTTTTCAGGGAATCTGGAGTTTTTCTGATACTTTCAAATAACAAAAAAATGTTTTTTCTTATTTTCGTACTCGTCTTCGATTTCGAAAATGATTTGATTTGCTTTAATTTCATTAGTTTCATATACATTCAAAATCAAAATATGTTTAAATGAATTTGTTTCATAATTCACATAATGACCAGTCAAATTAGGTAGATCAAACAGTCAGTTTAACATTCCAAGCTGTTGTTTTTTTGTGTCAAGGTTTTTGTTTCCCTTCATTACTGTTTGGAAATGGAAAGGAAGATTAATAATTTTCATCTCGCGGCATACGATGGCAAACCAAAACAAAATTAAATATCATAAGGCAATGGTCAGAGATCTATATTGACCATATGACTGAACTGTCCGTCTATTCTGTCTGTTTTTGCAAAATCTTCTTCGATCTTTCGTGATATTTTCAAAGCTGAATATTTGCATATTGATAAAATTCATGTAGAATTTGAATTTCATAATGCAACTACGGAAAAACAGATTTTTAACAGAACTTTTTGGTGCACTATAATAAATCATTGAATAGAACTGACCGATACTTGATGATAATCCATATTAAAAAAAAAACTAATCAATACAGTTTATTGTACGATTTATATTATAAAGGGTTTTACAAAAGCCGAGACACGTGTTTCGCTATGCAATAGCTTTCTCAAGCATAAACAATAGCTTGATGAAGCTATTGATGTATAGCGAAACACGTGTAGCGGTTTTTGTAAAACCATTTATAGTGAAAATCGTTCAATAAACTGTATTAATTAGTTTTTTCAATAATAAATCTTTGAAAAATGCTTCTTCTTCTTTCTGGGTCACTACTATTTTTTTTTATAGTTATAGTTTGTTTATAGTTATTAACGTTACAAGGTTGCGCAGCCGAGGATTATAACAACCGAATCCCAACATCGTGTTGCCATGGAACAGCTTAACAATATCACAAAAATATTATAAACAACATCAGTTTTTTGTGTTCGCTAATTCACTTTAACAACGGTCATGGATGAAATTGAAGAAATTAGGAACAAAATCAAATTTCTTTAGAAATATTGGGATATTCATGTGCAGCGAGTGTTGATTTACTGCCCAAAATAACTCAAGAGCGATATCAAAAATAATATGAAAATTTTGAAACGGCCGCCGACCGTAAAAAATCTTAACGGTCGGAGGCTGTTAACATCAACTTTTCAATTGTTAAATCAAAATGACAGTATGGTATTACGAAAAAGAAATATTAGATGGCCATTACGAAATCGCTTATGATTTAGCAACTGCTCATATTGGTTAGGTTTATTACAGGACCAGTAGGTTTAAAAATCTTAGGTTTCCAACCGAACATTCATGTTCGTTGCTTTTTAATATTTCACTGAGACGTCTTGACTCCATCTAACACTGTTTTCCGATTCAAATCATATACAGGGTGTTCCTTAAACACATGCTAATATTTGAGGAGGTAATTCCTAGACCCATTTTAAGGAAAAAACGTCGTGTGGACGTATGTCCTAAACGCCTTAACTTTTGAGATACAGGGTGGCAAAGTTTTCAAAAATAATCAGTTTTTTAATAATAACTGAGATAATTTTGTAGACATCTTTGGCATATTTGGTACATATCTTCCATGCCTCAGGCGCATTTTCTGATGTACAATTTTCTCAATTTTCTCTGCCAGTGGCGTACGTACGAGTTTTGAAATGTATATTTTTGGCGAAAAAAATACTACGCCACTGCTTTATCTTGGATTAAAAATTATTTTTAAAATCTCCATACATTTTTGAGCACATTTGATTTGCTGGGTTTTCTTTGTCCGACGCATGGTTTTCGCTCAAAAAATTAAAAATCGCTTTACTTAAGGATAAATTCCTTAAAAATCTGATGCGGTATCGTGCATCGACTGAAAGCAAACTAAGAGATCAGATTTGTTGCAAAATAATTGAGGATCTAAAAGGTATTTGTTTATTGTCAGATGCACTGTTCTCAATTAAAATTACGTCATAACGCAGCACCGCTTAATAATTTTTGAAAACATAAATTTAGTTATCCTGGAATAATGACGTGTAGCAGAATTTATTTACTGCACCTCTTGGAAATATGGAGTTTGTCGATATGTGATTTCTTTTAAAGATTAAAAGCAGAAAAAACAGCGTACCCACCATAGCAATAAAAAACGAATTCTCTGTATGCACAAACGTCAGTAGCTAATATTGATATTGGTTTAAAGTAAGGTGTTGGTGTTAAAAACTGTCACAGCGCGTTTTGATTGATTTTAAGTGTTATTGAAGTTATTTTGGTAGTCCGCTGTTTTTCTGAATATCAGTAAATATGGTATATTATACGAATGCGGAAATGGCGCAAATGCATTACGTATATGGCCTTGCCGATGGTAATGCAACAGAAGCCAGGCGCATTTATCAGGAAAGATATCCTAATCGTGCCTTACCAGATAGCCGAACCTTTTTAAATATTCATCGTCGACTTGGGGAAACTGGTAGTTTCAAGAAAGGGACTCCGGAAGGTAGACCTCGTGTAGTAAGAACTCCTGAAATTGAGGAAGCGGTGCTGCAAGAAACTGAGAAACATCCTGAGACGAGTACGAGGAAGATCGCTAGAACTCTGGATATTTGTCATCAAATTGTTTGGTGTATTTTGGTTGATTTTTTGTTATACCCATACCATATTTCAAGAGTGCAGGCATTACTTCCCAGAGATTTTCCACAGCGTGTGAACTTCAATCAGTGGTATCTACAAAGTATTGCACTTTGTAGGCTCATTTTTTCTACCAGGATGCATTGATGGTCGTTCTTATTTACACTTTCTCGAAGAAGACTTACCTGGGTTATTGGAAGATGTGCCACTTGTGTTAAGGAATCGAATATGGTACATGCACGAAGGCGCCCCTACTCATTTCAATGTAATTGTCCGAAACCATTTAAATACAGTTTATCCTAATCGTTGGATAGGTCGCGGAGGACCTCTGCAATGGCCAGCAAGATCCCCCGATCTCAACAGTTTGTGTATAAAACTCTCGTTAATACTTTAGAAAATTTAAGAGAGCGAATAGTTGCCTCGTGTGAAACTATACGAAATACGCCGGGAATATTTGAACTGATGTCTACAAAATTATCTCAGTTATTATTAAAAACTGATTATTTTTGAAAACTTTGCCACCCTGTATCTCAAAAGTTAAGGCGTTTAGGACATACGTCCATAGGAAGTTTTTTTTCTTAAAATGGGTCTAAGAATTACCTCCTTAAATATTAGCATGTGTTTAAGGAACACCCTGTATTGATCAGATGAAATTCTCACTTTTGAGTCTTTGGTCAAGTTTGTTTCAAAACGATGTGGTAGTCTCGAAAGATCAGCGGATCATACTCGTCTAATCAAAATGAAAGTAAAAAGAGTCATATTCAATTTCCAATTCTCATTGTAAAATATTCCTCTTGACGTATTTGGCTTCACATTCAAACAAGAAACATTTGCGCATCGTGTAACGATGAATATCCCTTTTACAAATGTCCTCAGTTTTTTCCATGTTGATTTATGATCGTTTGTTTGAAGATGATTGACAATGTTTCATGATGAATTTCACTAATTCGGACTTCCATTGTCTAGGTAATATATAAAATGATTTGAAATCCCT